ACCTCCCGGCGCCCCGGAGAGGCTCCGAGCGGCGCCGAGCCCGCCGGGACCCCCCCCCGGAGCGTCCCCACCCCTGCCCCGAGTGCGGGAAGACCTTCGGCCGCCTGACCCACCTGCGGACCCACCTGCGGACGCACACGGGGGCGAAGCCCTTCGGCTGCGGCGCCTGCGGGAAGCGCTTCGGCCACTTGTCCACGCTGACCACGCACCGGCGCCTGCACACCGGGGAGCGGCCCTACGGCTGCTCCGCCTGCGGCAAGAGCTTCACCAACCCCTCGGACCTGGGCAAGCACCGGCGCTCGCACACGGGGGAGCGGCCCTACCCCTGCCCGGCCTGCGGGAAGCGCTTCAGCCAGCAGTCCAACCTGGCCATGCACCGGCGCAGCCACACGCAGGAGCGGCCCTACCCCTGCGCGCTCTGCGGGAAGAGCTTCAAGTACCTGGCGGACCTGACGGTGCACGGCAGGTCCCACACCGGGGAACGGCCCTTCCCCTGCCCGGCCTGCGGGAAGAGCTTCAGCAACAAGTCGTCGCTGGCGCGGCACGGCCGGATCCACGCCCGGGCGGCCGGCAGGGACAAGTGAGGGGGGGGGCTGGGGGGGCTCCGGGAGCTTGTTCTGGGGGACTTGGAGGTCCAGCGGGGGGGTGGGAACATGACTGTTGACCCCCCCCCAGTGTCTGGTGGCTCCGTGATCCCAATCCCTGGTCTTGGAGGCCCAGCAGGGGTAGTGGGATCTCCCCCGTGACCTCCAGGATCCCATTCCCTGGTCCCAGAAGGTCCAACACGAGCGATGGGATGATGATTGATGTCCCCCGTGGTGGCTCCAGGATCCCATTCCCTGGTCTCGGAGACCCGACATGGGACGTCTCCCATGACCTGGCGGCTCCCAAAGACCCCCAGGGGGTCTCCAGGGGGTCTCTGGGGGGTCCCGGGCTCTGTCCCTCTCCCCCTCCCAGATCCCTGCAGGACACCCCCAACTGGGGTCTGTTTGGGATGGACTGGGAGGGGATTGGGGAGCACTGGGAGGAGATTGGGCTATACTGGGAGAGGACTGGGATACACTGAGACCCCACCCCCTTAAAGACCCCAAACTGACCCCCCCCCACAGTTCCAAACTGGGACCCCCAGGAAGGAGCTGGAGCAGCCGCGGGTCCAACGAGCCTTTATTGCCCTGGGGGGGGAGACCCCAAAATGGGGGGGAAAGACCCCAAATGGGGGGGGAAGACCCCAAAATAGTGTTAATAATCCAAATAAAAGGGTGGAAAGACTCCCCCCAGGGGGGTGGAAAGACCCCAGAAAAGGGAGGAATTTACCCCAAAACAGAGGCAAGAACCCAAAAAAAGAGGGGGGGGGAAGTCCCTCAGGGGGGGAGCATCAAAAATACCCTAAAAATACCCCCCAAAAAAGAGTAAAAAACCCAGAAAAAGGGGGGCTAATTTCCCCGGGAGGGGTGGGTCAGACACCCACGGGGGTCCTTTGGGGGGGTCTGAGCCACCTTGGGGGGGGGGCCAAGACCGCCAAGGGGGAGGGTCCAAAATACCCCCAAAAATGCCAGAAAAGCCCAAGAAAAAGGGGGTGAATCCCCCCCGAGGGGGTCAGACTGCCCCGGGGGGGGGTCTCAGCCCCCCGGGGGGGTCCGTGGGGGTCTCAGTCCCGCCGCA